AACGCATATGTTTCTCAATGTTGTCAAATCCTCGCCTTAGTGTTACCGTGTCACTGGACTTGATAGGTGGCATATCCCTCAAGGCACAGTAATGAGAATTCACTATTACCTGTTTCTTAGCAAATCTGTCTTTCAACAAGGTAATAGCAATATCATAGTTTAGATCTGTAATGGGGAGTCCAGCGATGCAACGTTTAGCGTCACCTTTTAATTGTGCAATCAAATAGTTAAATTTGTCAACGTTACTGAGTGTGGGGTGGCTATGAATGGCAGACTCAAAACTATCCCAAAACTCCTGCCACCGTAGCATGTCCCCTTGGAAGGTTGGTAATACCAACTTAGGTAGTTGAACATACTGGTGCTGTATAGTTGGTATTGGCTGAACGGTAGACGTATCAGGCACTGTTGCCTGTGACTTATTAGTTTGAGAAATATCTAGTCTTACCGTAAGCTGTGCAAGCACCTCCTCACAGTCCATCATAGTATTTATGAAGTCGTCCTCTGTGGTGGGTCCTTCAGTTTGTCCATCTTCAGTAATAGGCTCGGTGTCCAAACGTTTTTGAATTTCTTCCACTCTCTTTACAAAGCTTGTCAAAGTCCGTAGTCGTGTTTGAAGTTGTAGTTCTGTTAAGTCTGTAGTCTCCAAGAATGCATTTGTATCAGTAGTATAAGTCTTCAGTCGTAGTAAGGCAGATTTCAATCGAAGGTCCCATCTTGAAGTCATTATTAGTTATTCGGGAAAGTGAAGTTCAAAGTTGGAAGTTGTAAAAATTTTGAGTAAAGAAGTTAAGTTTAGAAAGTTGTAAAAAGTTAAAGCAGGAAACCACGCTCTACTACCATATTGTGATATCCGTGGATAAGTAAAGTTATGTTTGGTTTTCCTGCTTTAAATTAAGTTTTAAGTTAATAAATGTAGAATAAATAAAGAGTTAAAATTGTATCAACTTTCTTTCTTTAGTATTAGTTTATTTACATTCAATTATTTCCATGGAAACCAAAAATAAAAACCAGCTGTCTCAGCACACACCCTGTACTTTATGATGTATTCCAGTAAAAAATGTAATTTTAAGACCATTTTACTCTTGTGTTTTTTTTCATAAACCTAACCGTTTCAAAGATAATAATGGTTAAAGTTGTGAAATTTCAAATAGTTTTCGAATAAAACAGCTGGCTTGCTTGCTTAGGCCTTTATCGAAACTCTTTCTCATGCCAAAATTTCAAAAATTTAACCATTATATATAAAACGGTTAGGTTTATGAAAAAAAAACACAAGATTAAAATTGTCTTAAAATCACATTTTCTACTGGAATACATCACAAAATACAGGATGCTCCATAAGAATAATCAAAGTTGGCGGCCATATTGGAAAAATGGTGGCTAAAATATTTGTTTTGACTTGACCACAAGGCACCTAAAAAAATCTTTGGCTGCAAAATTTAACTTATTTTGATATCTCTTATAGTTTCCGAATAAAACAGCTGGCACACTTATATCAATCACCCTATATATGTATATATGAATTTGAACGGATGGTGTTTTTGGCCTCTAAAAGTAAATCGGTCCCGGGTCCAGGTCTTACCATGAGTACCACGGTAATAGCTTACTCCTTATATGGGAAATTCGCTAATAAAACTTATGATTTGGTTGATCTACAAAAAGGAAGAAAAGTCATTAATAATCCGCTGGGTATTTACACTGAAAACAAATTCTGAGAACGAGATCATTCGTTACAAGGTGTGTTTAGTCACAAAAGGATTTACTCAGCATCCTAGTATTGATTATGGTAACACTTTCAGCTCTTTAGCTCGGTTTGAGACGATGCGAACTATGTTAGGCTATTCAGTTCAGTACAATCTTACTATCAAGCAGTTTGATGTTAAGATAAAACAAAAACAACATTTTTGAATGGCAATCTTGAAGAGACTGTTTATATGAGACAACCATGTGGATATGAAGATGGAACTAATCGTGTATGTAATTTGAAAAGAAGTATTTATGGCTTGAAAGAAGCATCAAAGTGTTGGTACAAGTGTTTGAGTTCTTGTTGAAATGTAATCTGAAAGAGAGCAATTTTGATCCTTGTTTGTTTTATGGAAATAGCTTGTTCGTATTTTTTCATGTAGATGATGTAAATAATTGGCCATGAGGCAGCAGTTGGAGATTTAGTAACCGAACTGAGATCAAGATTTTAAATTGTTTTACATGATGCTGGCTTATTTTTTAGGTTTACAATTTACAAATAAAAAAAGAAACGGGGACTACTTACATATCAATCAGACTGGCTACATCAACAAGATCCTCGACTGGCTACGGCATGACAGATGCTAAACCTTTGCATCCATTGAACCTGGATGAAATTCTGGAGATTCTCCACTGGTAACAGATGCCATAAACTACCGTCAAATGATTGGAAGTCTACAGTACTTAGAATCTGCAACTCGTCCTGATATATCTTTTGCAGTTGGGATTGCATCAAGAGCAAAAGCACAAGATAAACCAACTCAATCTCACATAGGTTTGGTAAAGAGAATATTAAGGTATCTAAAAGGAACAACAACTCATGTAATTGCTTTTGAGAAAAGCAGGAACAATTCTATTGAAGCTTTTAGTGATGCCGACTTTGCTGGAGATAAGGAAACTAGACGGTCAATAAGCGGGATATCTACTTGTAAAGCTTTTTGGTGGACCAGTTATTCGGAAGAGTAAGCTTCAACGGTGTGTTTCCCAATCTTCAATGGAAGCAGAATATGTTGCTGCTAGCGAGACCTGTAAATCCCTTGTATGGTTAGATCGTCTTGTGAAAGAGATTGGCGCAATTGAAGAAAAGTCTATTCCTATACTACATGTGGACAATCAAAGTGTAATTAATCCAATGTTCCACAAACGCTCTAAACATATTGAGACTAGATACCATTATTATGTTCGACAGTTGGTCTCTGGGAAACAGATCGATGTCATTTACATTCCAACTGAAGAACAAACCGCAGATATTTTAACAAAGGGCTTATTATCCTTGAAACATGTTAAAATGAAAACTTTCATTGGAATGGTGACCTCTTAACTAAACTTACTTTTCTAAAATGTATTATGGACATTATGGGGGTGTGTTAAAGATATAATTTATTCATATTATAATGTCCATAATATTTATGTTGGAAAATAACATATGATATTTCCTTGGTAACAGTTTGTTATTTTTTGATGAAGTAAGATGTATACAAAAATCTAGGTTCTGTTTTACAATAAATTAACTTGATTTTTGATCCACTAGTCGAGTTGTTATTTTAGACGATATTTCCAAAAAAATTTATTTATCTGTACATGGCAATAACTATTTTACATTAAGTTTCTTGATGTTTGATACAGATAAATATGCAACATGCATGGCTCAATCAATTTGACTGAAAATAATATACGAGAAGCTAGTTGAGTTATTACATGCGATTTTCATTAGGCCTAGAAAGACAACATACAATAATCAACAACAAAGAGTAAGAATAGTAATAGACATTTTATAATTTAATGACATAGATTATAAATATTTTAATGAAAATAACAGTGATAAATAAATTAAAAAAAGAAAATAACTTAAAATGAAGGAATATATAATGATATTAACATTGCTGCACTTGCTCTAACTGATAATGTGACCCTTTAGAGGCACCACCAAAAGCAGGATCTGGTCAGCAGCCCCTGTTAAATCTCCTAAGGTAGTTAACATGAATGTTAACTAAACATCAAGGTAGTTAATAGCATCTTGAACACCAAGCAGCTGGAGAAAGCGCCTGTGGACAATGTTCAGGAGTTATAGTGGCCAACCTGATGAGCCCACAAAGGAGAAGCTAGGGACGTGGCTCATCTAGAGACAAAAGCGTTTGAGAGTTCCAATATGGCTTTGCAATGGTTCAAAAGCAACAAGAAACAGCTGTCAAACAAAAATGTTCCAATTCCATTTTAACAGCTAAAAAAAAAAAACACGTTCCGCTGACTGTTTTGTTCACGCGAAGAGATCTCTTCTTGCAGCAATTCTTAGTTTCTTGGTTTGGTCTTAGATAGTCAGCTCAACTTTCATGACCATATAGAGCTCATATCCAGAAGAATTAGCACAGGAATTTTTGTGATAAGAGGTCTTTCAAAGTTTACTGATTCTCGTGTGACCTTGTGTGCTTATTACGGACTGATTTATCAATTTTTGTTTTATTTAGTGGCAGTCTGGGGCTGTGAGAGTGTTTGAACTAAGTTTGTCTTCCAACTCAGAAAAAAGCTCTAAGAGCCGCCTTTAGAATATCCTGTTGTACTTCTTGCAAGCCTCTCTTCAAGAAATAAACACAATATTCTTACATTTCCATCCATTATTCTTACATTTCCATCCATATACATACTGAATTGTCTGTCGTTTTTAAATATGACTAAATATTTGAAACTTGTTTGTAAATGTAGATGGGTATTGATAAACAAATAAAACTTGGACTAAAACGTTGAACAATTAGATAGGCCTATCAATTTTGTTCTTTCTCTGCTTTTTATATTTGATTTTAATTGTATTTTTAATTGTAGTTTAATGTATGCGATATATTGCTTGCCCCTCATGCTCAGAATAATTTAAAATATTTGAATTTGTTTTTGATGTACTTTATTTATGTTTTGCTTTTTATTTTATACTTTTAGGGCTATTATGTTATTTTGACTAAAATGATATTGTATTGTGCCAACCACAACAGACGGGTTTTATAGCATTCCTTTTGCTAAACATAGACGTAGACATAGACGTTTATTTAATATTTCATTTATCACGAGGTAGGCTATATGGTGTGGTAGGAAGAAATGAAGTGTGTCTGTCCATTTTACCTAGCACAGTGATTCAACTGATATTGTCTAACTATAATTTATTTGTTCTGCATTAAGTTAACAGATAAAGATATAATTGAAATTTATTATACATATCAACCTTTTATAGATACAGTAACCGTTTCATGCTGTAATGCTAATTTGTTTTCCAGTTATTAAAGAATGTAACAATTGCTTCTGGTGGAGTGTTACCAAAGATTCACCCAGAACTTTTAGCTAAGAAGAAAGGTGGAAAATTTATCTTGAGTAATAATGTTCCACTGACAGTGCCCTACAAGAAACCGATCGCCACAAAACCTTTAGTTTACAAAAAACAGACTACGGCAGCAACGAGCCCTGCATCTCCTGCCCCTGGTTCACCCTCTACAGGTGAGTTTCTGTCCAGCTGAACTCTCCTGCCTAAGCAGTTAATATATAGTAAAAATGTGCCTTCTGGGTGTCCAGCTTATCAGGAAACCAGGAAATGTATATGCATTCTAATGACCAGGAAAAAGCGTGAATTTTGTATGTGGCCAAAAAATTTGGAATAATCAAGAATCGCCATAATCCTGTTGTTGAATTCCCATTAACACGTTGAGCGCGGGGCGGGAAATGTCGTCCTCCTTCCATAATAATAACCTTGCTTCAGTGTGAGCTCAGCCTCATACAAATAAAACACACATCCCCTACCCTTACCTAGTGAGTGAGTCTTTCACTACTCTGTTACTTTTGTTTGTATGCATATTTTCAACAGTGGTAAGTGACATTAGTGATGATAGCACAATTAATTAGAAGTCTTTACCTATTTACTGGACTTGTTTCTTTAAAACTACTGTTTGATAAAAATAAAATGTTCTATTTGTTTTACACAGTTTTTAGTCAAACAGTTTTATTATTAAGGACACATCAAACTAGATTTATGACAAGCATAACAAATATTGTATGTTCAATAAGTACTTGAAGTGTAATCATAGCACTTTTTTAGTTGAAATAATTTTGGAAAAAAAAACCAAAACAAGTAGTATTATCCTTAAAATTAGACCAATTAATTATATTAATTACCAAGACAAAAATGTGGTTCGGATTCCACTATAAACTGTAGGTCCCTTGGTTGACATTAGCTGTATGGGCAATTAACAGCTGTGTCTAAGGAATATGTCGGCCCTAGTCACTAACAAAACAAGACTACAAGATCGCGCCATTCATCCTACACTCATCTCCTTTCATACTTGGCTTATAATACCTACTTTATATTGTTGTCATTTTATTGAAAAGTATTAAAGTATTAAACTGTACATAATACTAACCAATTTGTAAATGGTATGTTTCTAAAGTTTTAGCTTAAATTGCCTCATAAATTAATGTGGTTTTTCGGTTTATAATCTTACTAGCAGAGTACCCGTCCTTTGTACGGGATTGGCATATAAATATAAATGCTTAGTGCAGTTATATTCAAGCTTTTTGTTTGCAATGGTGGGGGGGGGGGGGCACAGTTTGATCAAATTTGCTTCTTTATTTTTTTATATAATAGTATTACACATCTACCATAGCCATACGGTAATGTTTTGCTACTTCACCTAAACAATAGAGAAAAATTAATTAATAAATTCCCAAAATATCACAAATTATTCATGAAATTAAAAACATAAACATAGGCCTAACTGTAAACAATCCTAATTTGACAGTTTTCATTGCATATTACAGTTTTTTGTTGCTGCTTAGTTCAAATTAGCTGGTTTCATAAATGAAAAAAAAGAATAATAGTGCTGCACCCTGTTGGTAAATTTTATAACTTTTAATGCTTTTGAATATCATAGAACCAACTTTTTAGTTGAAACAGCTGACTAAATTCTTTAATTCCCTTTAAATATGAATACTCATAAGGTTAACATGGGGAACTACAGAGCCACTGCGGCGGAGCCCGGAAGGATTTTTTTGATAAGATTATGCCTATTTGTTAATCTGGAATGTGAGCTATCATTATGCCAAATTTCAGCCCAATCCGTCCAGTATTTTTTGCGTTTACTTGTCACAAACATACATACATCCATACATCCAAACTTTCTCATTTATAATATTAGTAGGATTAGTTCAATTGTAAAATAAGACATTGTGGTATGCAAAAGGTCAGGTAGTTCTGATCTTTAAATGACTTCTTGATCAGCATTGTACGTGCTATTAAATTTACGGAAAGTAAATAAAGATACGTCTTATAACACTTAAAACATATATTTACGCTTATACTGTTACTCACAAGACGGTAAATATACAAAAGATGGTAAGTGGTGATCGATTTCGATTGGACACTCCAATCATCATCAGACCCAATAGGCGAATGTATATTTACCGTATATCTTTTGTATATTTACCGTCTTGTGAGTAACAGTATAAGCGTAAATATATGTTTTAAGTGTTATAAGACGTATCATTATTTACTTTCCGTTCTGATTTTTGGATATGTTGTTAGTGTTGGGTCCATAACATAAAATCCAAGTTATCCACCTCGAGATACCTCCGCGGGGCGCGCCACTTTTTGCCAGAAATAGCAAAAATCTGACCATTCCTGTGGGTTTTCACTCTATCTCGCGAACAGTTGATTTTACTGAAAGTATTACTTTATATAATTAAACGAGGATAAATTTGTGATAGTTTAAGCCCAACATCAAGTATGTAGCGTAAATAATGGTCAAAATACAGACCTTCAAAATAAAAAAATATTCCAAAGATGTATAAAAACTGTGGTTTTTAGCGAATTTCCCATATAGGGAATAAGCTATTATCGTAGTACTCATGGTAAGACCTGGACCCTGGACCGATTTTTTTTTCGTTTTGAAGTCCCTAGAGACCAAAAACACCATCCGTTCAAATTCATATCTTCTTCTTTTCTTGCATGTTTAGGGCTACTAATATAATAAAAATAAAAAACATAGTTAACAAAGTACCCTTTTAGTAATTATTTTATTTTTAATGACGACATGTTTCAGAGACTAAGTCCATTATCAAGTCATATTTACCATAACCTCATTCTTAAAACCAACAAAATTAAAAATATAATGATATGTAAAAATAATGAAATATGTTAAATAAATCTTAATAAATTTTGGTTTCAATTTTTTTATTATACTATATTAATGTTTTTCTTTCTCTCCTTAGTTTTTCAATTTTATCGTAAATAGGTTGGTTTAATTTTGAAATCATTGTGTTAAGTATGTTCTTGGGGATATTTGGGGGTATTTGTTGTGTAGATAAATATTTAGCTCTTCTTTTACATTAAGTTTCTTACGTTCTTTTTCATATTCTAAAATTGTTAGATTTTCTTTCATGTTTTTATTACTGTGGTCTGAGTTCATTATATGTTCGGCGAAGTTCGACTTCATTGATGTTTGATTTTTTGATTTCAATGTTTGTAGGTGTTCTTTGAATCTTTTTTTAAAACTTCAAGATGTTTGACCTATAATTGCTACAGTCACTACAGTTTATCTTGTAGATTCCTGATTTGTTGTACTTTCCGTCTTCATTATTTTCTGTGTATTTGATTTTTTTATTGATTAATTGGAATATATTGTTCTTAATTCTGTAACTTACTCTTATATCCGAGTTTTTAAATGTATTTCTTATTACTTTAGTCATAGCCTATACTGTATTTGTTATAAGGCATACACATATATTTCTTTTTCTCTTCATTTTCCATTGATTTTCTTTGCTTTTATATTTTGTTTTTCAATTTCTTCTTTATCATATTGTCTATCATTTTTGCCCTGTAGCCATTTTTCTCTGCTAAGTATTTAATGGTATTTTTCTCTTTTTTGAAGTTTTCTTTATTCATGGGAATGTTAAAAAGTCTGTGGATAAGTGAATGGAAAGTAGTGATTTTATGACTCCAAGGACATAAATAAACAAATTATGTCGTCTACATATCTGTACCAGTATTGGGTTTTCTCTTTATTTGGGTTACAATCATTCATTATTTTGGTAGTTTCCATTTCTTTCATGAATATATCTGCCATTATTCCATTACAATCATTCATTATTTTGGTAGTTTCCATTTCTTTCATGAATATATCTGCCATTATTCCAGATAGCCAACCCATTGGAACACCATCTTCTTGTAAATAGATTTTTTAAGAATGAGGTTATGGTAAATATGACTTGATAATGGACTTAGTCTCCGAAACATGTCGTCATTAAAAATAAAATAATTACTAAAAGGGTACTTTGTTAACTATGTTTTTGATTTTAATTTAATATATATATATATATATGTCCGTTAGCGCGATAACTCGAGCAAAAATGATACGATTTTGATGAAATTTGGTACAAACGTGTAAACCTACGTTTATTCGAACGAGTTCGCGAACCAGCAGGATTGGACCATGAGAACGGGGGTTTATGGGGGCTTTTATGGGGTAAATATGGGGTTTTCCCATTTTTGACCCAAAAAAACATAAAATGTTGCAATTTCTTTACAAACTATTTTGTAGAGCTTAAAAAAACAAATAATTTAGTATATTGAATCATTATAATGCGCCTAATGGTTACGGAGAAAATTCCAAAAAAATTGTAAATTTAAAATTCCCATGTTATTTTTATGGAGAATAAGTAAACTGTTGTAGTTTGCTTGTTTATTAACATATTTTGCCCAAATTTGGAAAATGTTTTTATTTCTTACTAACTATTAACATTTTTACATACAAAAATACTTTTACCCTCCCTGTTGCAGCAAACCTAAGTACGTGGTAAACTGATTCTATTTAAATAGGGAATAAATTTGATATTTTTAAGGAGACATTTTAGTGTAAATCCAATCAGGCAAATGGGAAATCGCTTAGTCTGCAGGTTTGCTGCGGCGGGGGTATTAAATATTTCCACAATATAGTTGTTTGAAGCAAACACCGTATTGATTTAGAGAGTATGCCAGTTTCTTTGTTATTAATAGAAAATAAATGAAAGTAAGAATAAAAATCCCCCACCTCAGCAAACCTGCATACTAAGCGAATTTCCATTTGCTTGATTTGATTTTCACAAACCTATTAAATAACATTAGGTTTAATTAGTGCCTTAGTTTGCTGCTACAGGGAGGGTAATATAGTATATCTTTTAATAAAATAATAATAGTATGATAAGAAACAAATAAATGTACGCAATTTTATAAAAATGTATCTAAAAATAAGGAAAAACAATAGTTAAAAATATTTTCCATTAGAATATCATGGGGGATTTTTGATTTGCATTTTTTATCTCGAGGTGGATAACTTGAATTTTATGTTATAGACCCAACACTAACAACATATCCAAAAATCAGAACTACCCGACCTTTTGCATAGCAACCCCTTATTTTTCTGACATGTTTACAAATACTGGACTATTATATGAATGAATTAATAATGAAAGAGCTGTTCACCCGACCTACATACGGTAATCAAGTAGTCAATTAATGAATATGATTCAGAACAGCTAGTTTACAATTTGGTGGCAGATTTACACACACTGGTTTTGAGTACAGTAGCTACATACCACCTCCCTTTGCATACTATCACTTGACGCTAATACCGAAACCCTACCCAGGCTGATGCTAACCAAAACCCCTGGTCTGTGTGACCCTATTTGAAAATAATGGACCCCGCTTAGAAACACAAAAACCTGAGACGGGCATGTTATGAACACAAACCTGTCAAGGTCACTTCACCCTCACAAAATGAATAAACAATATATCAACAGGTAGGAAGGAAAAAGGGGGGAAGGTATTGGGGAGAATAGAATTCCCCAAGTAAACAGTGTTGCTAACATGCATTATTTGTGAAAATTCCTGTGGGCCTATCAGACCGGGGTTTCGGTAAAAGTTCAACATCATAAAAATTGTATAGGCTTCTATAGATTAGTAATAAATGATCAACTATTATTATTTCACACATTTACTCCTATAGTTGTTTTAAAATAATATGTCATTTCTCCCCTTCCAGCTAAAGTGAGGGGGAAAATCGGAAAAGCCAAGGAAGCGGCAGCAGCATCTCCTTTAGTCCCATCCATCACCATTTTATCAGAGAAGAAACTATTTCTTGGACAGAAGGTAAGCGAATTGTTACATTTTGTTAGGAACGTATAGGCAGTATAGGCCTACATATCAAATAACTTCTTCAGTCAGTCATTAGAAATAATTTAAAATACTAGGTCTAGCATAAATTTTTCCAAAAATAATGAAAAAAATAATTATGAAATCTGCACCCCAGTTTGCTGCCAATAAATGCATATATTATAGGTAGTACCCTCACCTCAGTGCAAAAGTGATTGATGAGTGTCCACTGCTTTTGAGAACTGTAAAGATAGAATAAAACAAATTCTTCTAAGAACTTTTATTCAACATTCAAGATTCAACTAACTTAAAAACAAGTCAACAACTTAGTAACCAATACCCATATACCATGAGTAAACATATAAATAATTACTAAACCACATGTCATTCCATTACATCTTCTCTCCCATGATACAATGTTAAAACTGATTCCGTAATGTAGGTTTAACTTCCCTTCTGGTCCTAGTGAAATACCGTCCATTAACTTTTCTGCCTCTTTCCCATTCCACTCTATTTTCTTCTTTCTTTCCAAGAAGAAAATAAAAACCCCTAGTTGGTTTAAAGGAAATAAAATACAAAACAGATAATTAATTATTTTCATAAACATTAGAAAGGTTATAGGATTGATTGAACTAAAATAAACTTATAAGTAGAAAAGTCTTCAACCACAATCTGTTTAATCAGTACATTGTTAGAGAGAGATAGAGAAATAGAGAGATAGCAGATAGGGGCGTTTGATACGATACTCGTTTACAGCCTTATTGTGTTGCCCACTACATTTGCTCACGTGACCACTTTTTGTTTCTTCCTTATCTTTCATCCGTCCCAAAATAGAATTCCTGAAATTGTTTGTTGGTATAATCTTCCCTCCCACACAAGGCGCAGTGCTCAGTGCGCACTGTAGGTTGTCATGGCAACCGTGTGTCGTCATAGCGACAAGCCAATCACGCACTCGCACTGCGTTGTATATTACGATACGAATAGCTGTTAGAAAGACAACGCGATAGGTGGACGTTTGTCTCTTTCCTATCTCCTCAAAATTACGATCGATAATCATTGCGTCTTGACTGAGCTGAGGTTCGTGCTTATCAAACGCATGAACAACGTAGAATTGTGATAACATTGTTTTCAATTATGACCCAAATTAAGTGTTTTGACTTTGTATTAAAAGCTCGTCTCAAACTTCGAGCTTTTTCAAAACGCCTCGAGCCGAGCCGAATAATGAAAAGCTCGACCAAAAAGCTCGAAGATTCGAGTACTCGCACACCCCTAATCTGCATACAATCTAGTTTTCCTCTCAGGATTATACAAATTATTATTATTATATTATTATTATTATTACTAAGTAAATCAAAATACCACAGCACCCTAAAAACATTTTATTTTATATTACTTACATGTTTCGGACATTAATGCCATGATCACAGTATAGTATATAACCTATTAGTTTCTTTTATTTACAAACATTATTAGATATTTCTTATTAAAGAACAGGTGATAATTTTTATGTTAAGGGAAGGAGGTGTTTTCTTTAAGATGTATAATTTCATTGAATATTACGTTTTGATTTTGAATTTGTGTCAAGTTTAGTAAATTGTCTTTGTCATTAATATGATGAGTATAAATATAAAAGTCTTCCTTTGTATTCATTTTTTCACCTTTATTTTCAATATCCAGAATGTGCATATTTTTATTCATTTCTGAGTATGTATGGTCGGTCTGAAGTATATGTTCGGCGTATGAGGATTTTTGTGTTGTCATATTGTTTGATCTGATTGCCTGTATATGCTCTTTGTACCTGACTTCGAATGTTCGACCTGTTTGACCAATATAGTATTTTTCACAGTTGTTACATGATAATTTGTAAATTCCTGATTTCTTATATAAATTTGGTGGGTTGGGTCTCGGATTTGTTCTTTTTTGAATGATGTTAAAAGCGTTATTCCTTGTTTTATAACTTAGTTTAAATTTTGAGTTCGGTAATGTCTTTCTTAAGGTTTTGTTTAAGGATGAGCTGAATGGAATACATATAAATTCTTTCTTTACGTTTTCTTGTTCTTCTACTTTCATTCTTTTTGTTTTTTCATTTTTATGAGTTATTATTATTATATAAATTGAAAGGAGATAATTTAATGTCTTGATCAGTTCTGAAAGGTTGGGAAGAAACAAGAAACTTCATTAAATAGTTTACCATTCCAAGAAAACATTTAACTCGGGTTAGATTTTTTGGAACAGGATACTTCTCCACAGCCAAGGTCTTTTCTAGGGGTCTGCGGGTCAGACTTTTTTGGTTCAGGTCGGATCGGATCGGGCCAAAAAATCATTAGATACCCGATTTTTTTGTTTTAACTATATCTGTCTTTATAATTTTACTTGATAATAAAATAATAAACAAATATTTTACTTATGTATATTTTTTCATTTTCATATCTTATTTACAGCGTTTGAATTGCCTCAACTGCAAGAAAGAAGAAAATATTTTTTTATCAAGACATTCTTTCCAATTTTCATAACTGTTGAAATAACTAAATAGCTAAATTACAACAAACTTTGAATGGATCTTAATATAAAAGATCATAAACAAATCAATTAACATATCACAAATTTAGGGCCTGTTGATTGGCTTCAAGACTGCAAGCAAGAAGATGATAAAAATTCCATGTTTCCACCATGCAATATGTACCATTCATTCCCTGCCTAACCTCCTACCTAAGTATAAAAAACTCACACTTGCAATAGCATTATTAGTTACCGTACATCATTATAAACACATAATTGATCTATTATTGGCATTAGTAGGCCTACAGCTTTACATAAGAATTATTTTTATAGGGCCTAAAATAGTAATAGACTAAGCAACATAACAAGTGGAGAACTCATTGAAGAAAAGATGTGGTGTAAACTGATTTACTATAAACTCAAAAACAGTACTTAACACACAAATTGCTTATGGTATAATTAATTAGGAAGGACTGCAAAAACTGCATATTGTGTCATACAGTTACAGTAGTATAGATAGACCTACTGCAAGAAATTAAAATCTAAAAACAACTAATTTTGATAGGTAATTGTTATGTATTGTAAGTTTATATATTGAAATAAGTAGTTAAATAAATGTAAGATGAAAAATGAGCCTTATTTTTCACTAGTTTATTTACATTAATTGAATCACATTTTTGAACTAACAGATGATTAAAATACTAAATGCATAGCATTTGAAACATAGAGATACAACAGTTTCTTCCCCACTAAATTTGATTCATAAGTCCAGTCTTTTTCGTTACTTTCTTGTTCTGACTGATTTGCGAGGAACATCTGTTGAAGCATTGTCGTCTGTTTGAGGATTATTATGTTCACTGCGTTGAGGCCTGATTTCTGTATTTTCCAGATCATTGTCCTTGAATGTCACGTTCTGTTGTTGCGAACTGGTATTTTCTTTAGGAGATGAGCTGGAGGGTGTTTTGTCTGTTGTTTCTGGCACTGATGTTCTCTTCAACTGATCGATGTGTCTCTTGCCAATGTAACCGTTGTCCAGTTTGACTTTGTAGTGCAGAGCTCCAAGTTGAAAAATAACTTTTCCGAACTTCCAGCTGTCTAAGGAACGTACTAATATTCTCTCCCCCACTTTAAATGAGCGGCTTACTTGTTGAAAGCCTGGATGTAATGATGTGTTTTTCTTAGGAGGTTTGAGAGCATCTAGTTTTGTTCTGATCTTTCGATTCAAATACAGTTCAGCCAGTGATTGTCCGCATTGTAGAGGTACAGCTCGGTAGCGAAACAGTATGTCTTGAATTTGTGATTTAATATTCTTTTGATGATCTTCAGCAGTATTTTTCAAAGATTTCTTTAACGTTTGCACATAGCGTTCCGCTAACCCATTGGTTGCTGGGTGTCCTGGGGCGATAAATTTTTGAAATATGCCTCTTTGTCGGCAGAAATCTGTAAATTCTTGACTAGTAAAAATTGTGGCATTATCAGAAACTAGTACAGCAGGATATCCATGTGTAGAGAATATATCATTTAGAAATTCTATTGTCGTAGCCGTGGATGGTGCGTTTTTGGTTATTCGAACTTCAGGCCGTTTAGATTTAGCATCAATCACTACTAGGAAATGGTGTCCATTAACCCTAGCAGTGGCCGATCGTCGTCTGGTGACGATCTGACGTTGATGCTTAAAATGGCCAAAGTCGTCTGGTGACGATCTGGGCCGAAATTTTTTTAGCGGTAAAAAAACACTTACAATCAACTCAGATGAGAATAATATATATACCATTCGAAAGATCACATTCTGAACTTTCATTTTATTACATAAACAAACCCTGTAGCAGGTATATAACAATGTCACGACGATTAGAAATCAAATGAATTTTTGGCCTGGCACGACTTTTGCAGCCGACACTTGGGAACTGGCAAAACACGTCTTGTTTGGCATTACCCTGCTCGGATAATTTTCATCGTGGGATGTTGCGGGTGGTACCACTGGATAGCCATTGATTTTATCTTCATTGTGGTAGTAATATTTAGAACGAAATATTGATTGCACAACCGGTACGATTTTATGAAAACAGCTGTTTTCGAAATTTTTAACAAATGGCCAATGGTCGTCAGGTGACGATGTGGAAAATACGAATTACATACACTGTAAGTTATTATTACTAGTCATATAATATGTCATTTTGAAGAGGAAGAAATATAGATTGTGAGAGTGGCAGCCCTGCGCTCAGGGTCTGCTCACATATGAAGACGACGGAAGTGAGTCATTACTGCTACAGCTGTCTTGTGTATTCGCCATTGTTTGTTGTTGCCGTGAGTGTTCGCTCTGGTGTTATCTGCGATTTATTACTAAATACGTTATTAGTTCGTAGTGTTAGTGTTAGTGAAGTTTGTGTGTGTGTATAACAGTAATCTTCATGCATTTTATTATGCATAAATATTACTGAATTGTGTGAAATAGTGTTCATAAAAGGTTATATTTTGTTAGCATCATGTCCTAAAAT